GCCACAGGGAATTCGCCAGACTTTGCCGTGCGAGCGAGATACTCTCGGTAGCTTGCCAGGCTCTCCAAGAGGGGCGGAGGAATTGAACCTGGCTCAGCCAGGCCAGCTGCCTGTAAGGCAAACACCCTACCGCTGTGCTCCAGCCCGATTAGCGTATACAATATTAATGCTCTAAGGGGCATACGCATCTTGGCATTATATGAGCTCTGGGACAGTACATGCTATGTTACACTCCTCTGTAGGGTGCGCTAGTAAGCAGTATCACAGGGTGTCTATAGCTATTATTTTCAACAAATTGGATGATGCTTGAGACACTGGAGAAGTCCCACGAAGTTTTTATCATGGTTATACTGTACACATATGATAAACAAGGTAGCTACATGTGTTAAAGGTGCTAACAAAAAGTGTACCCCTGAATGTTAAAACACAAATTTTAGAGCTTCGTCAGTTACAGCTGGAGCACAGCAAGAAAATAAGTAGCAAAGATCAAAAACAAATTAGCTAATCTTGGAAATCTTTTGTAATTATGCAGGGTAATACAAGCATTGTAGTTTGGGAGAAAATTATCAATAATTACTGAATGAATGAAGTGAACAAATGAATAAAATGAGATGATTGGTTTTCTGTACCTTAAAACAAGTATTAATGCTTTCAATAAAACATATAATACTTCACACTGATTAGTCACCTTCCACAATATGGTGTTTTTATCAAGTATAATATCTTTTTACAGACTAAGAATCCATCATAAAAAAAAAGAATTCCATCATAGAAATGAATACTTTAAATGTACTTACTGCTTATATCCAACTGTGACAATACTTATAAATCAGGTGAGATTATGCTATTATTTATACTGGCAAAGTAAATACCTTCTGAAGAAAGTTTTAATGTCTATTTGTCCAAATCATGCAGATTGACTCTCTGTCTTCAAAGTAAATATGCAATTTTTCAATGCAAAGATAAACTGTAGGTTTAAGAGTTAGCCACAGAGCAGTGAAGAGGCTATCAAGACTGGTCGTGGCTTTCAGACTTACTAAATAATGGAAGACTAGAGCTCCTTCTGGCATTACAGTTGGTCATTAGTCTCCAATAAACAAGATCTAAAAAGTGACAGATGAGTCACCTCTACCTGTAAACAACAAAAGATGCAGATAGGAAATTCATTCTGACTAACCTAATGAATCAGAGCCTGGAAACAGTGATGGCTCTTCAAGCTGAATTGAGATGAGTTATGAGCACCCATGAGGGAGACAGGCTGAAGGAAAGGGAGGGAGCATGTGTAGCACCCTATATTCCTTTCAACATATTGTAAGGGCAATAGATATTTTTCCTTTAAATGCAGACATTCATGAAGGATGTAACAAAATGTTCTTTCATTCAGTTTCATGGTTGCATATGGGTTTGCTGTAGACAGGTTTTAAACTATCTGTTGCAGTTAAGAAGGGAAAACATTCTCTTGACTTGAAAGGCAGAAACCCAGTACTCAATGTAAATGAACAATACTTTCAACTTAAAGAATTTCCCATGGCAAATTGACTTTGTTTTCTTATTTTAAAAGTGTGTTCCTAGGAAATTATATGATAAATGATTCATTTCTAAGAGATGCTCTAGTTTAATGTCTTCTGGGCATTATAAATGTCTGCAAATAAAATGAGCAGGAATGGTCTCTAAGAATTTTGAAATCCTGATAACAAAATATTAAAAAGGTAGACATTTTTAAAGAATACATTTTTGCCTAAGTTATATAAACAACTAAATTTCTCTGAATAGTACATAACAGGACTAAGCATTCATTGGAAAAGAGATGGGAATATAAAATGAATGATTGGGTGAAATCTATTATACACCCATTACTCTCTTACATTGCTCTTCGCCCGTAAGGTCACCGAGACACTAGAAAGTGCCTTAAATAATGACTTAACTGTGGTGGCCCTGAGCATTACTTTGTTTGGCCCCATAACAATAACAACAAAAATAATGATGACTCAGTAACTTGAAGGAAATTTTAAACTGGAGAAGTCGTCTCAAGAAGTGTGGTTCCTTAATAGGAAGTTGATTAGAAATATGAATTCTCAAAACTCCACTCTTTACACTTAATAACTAACTCTGGGGGAGGGTCCAGCAATCTGTGTCTGGATAAGACTTCAAGGTGATCTGACATATTTTAAATTTGAGAACCTCTCTGTAATAGTATAATGAAAGCAGAAATTTTAAACAATTTTGTGTTTTCTCAAAGCTGATGAGTGCCTTATGGAGTAATTAAAATGGTGTTAGGGATATTATCACAGTAATAATTACAGCCTATTCCATTTATAGTGCAACATATATGTTCATAGAAGATTACTGCCATCAATCAATAGTCCTTCATGTTAGTTATTGTTAGTTTTGAAGTAGCCTTGCCTATAACACTGATAAAAATAGTAAGATCATAATCTGGAAGATACAAAAATTTTGAGTTCTCTTAGGTGAGCTGAGAAAAGCTACTAGAGATATATAATTAAATATATAATATATATCTCTTTATAAAACTGGGGACTTAATCACCCACAATGTTTATAATAAAGTAGCCAGATATATCATCACTTCATTTTCTTAGGAACTAAAAGAACTCATCAATCTATGCAAAATATACCCAGCTAAATAACATACTGAGTTGGGAGGGGAAATTAATTTGTAACTCTAGGGAAAATATATTTATTTTGTTTTTTCCATCATGTGTGTTTTCCTATTAAAATACCCTGAAATAACTCTAAAGGTTTTAATTAATTTATTTTAAGCTTCTCAATGTTAAGTTTTAGTCAGGAACCAAAACATGAGAAAAAAAATGTGAGTAGAAGGGTGACCTCTGGAAACATCTTCTGATACCATATCCCAATGTAAGATTTATTTTTTCCCCCTAGTGGGGAAACACTTTTTTCTGCGTTGGAAAGTGAGAGTACTCAGCAGTAAGGATAAAGTACTTTGTTTAAGAGAGGCACAGGATTTTGTTTCTCAAAAATCACAGGACACTGGCTGCTATACCATCAAACCTAGTTTCTCAGAACTACCCTGGGATTCTGGAACCTTATACACCTTATAACAGTGTCACTTATATAGCAAACCTTTCTCAGTTGTTATTAAGTGTAAGAAAAACTGGCTGATATATTCCATACTGACATTTTAAATTAAGCCAAATATTCTTAGTAGTTAATGCATATATAAATATCAGCTGTGTCAAAGATGAACCCCCAATCTCTTTAATATCATGCTACAGAGTGTAGAATTTAATCAGAAAAGAATAGACGGCAAATAAATTGATTTGAAAGAAATGTCTAAAAAGTATATGAGACTGATTTAGTTACCAATATTAAAAACTATTTTTAGTCACCTTGCCAATATTCTTTTGAACTCTTGAAAAAATTATACGTATCAATAAAATGAATATTAGTAATGAGAGGAAAGCAAAGAAGCATTAAACAACATTGTTTCCTCAGTGAAAATAGCAGCCTGTTTATCATAATGAAAAATTATAATAAAATCTTTAATTTATTCAGATTCATCAAGCAAATTGTTCTTCATGAAATGATAATATTATATGACAGTTTTGCTACTGGTTTTACAAAATAGCCCTCAACAACTAAACACTGTGGCGGAGAAGCCTAACAGCGAATCAGGTCAACTGATGGTAGAAAGTCATAGAGGTTGACAGAGTGTCCCAAGAGAAGCAGCAATTTTTAAATGTAAGTACTAAAAGTATTTTTTTTCTCATTTTCAAGTAAAACGCTTCATTTTCCTCCTGCCAAAGGGATATGATTTTATTTATGCAAAACTCTTTAGTCAAATGAATCAAAGTAATTCAATACATTAATATTAAACAGAATAGTCCTGCTTATCATTTTTTCTCAACCCTATAAAAATTGCTTAGGTTAGGATATGCATTTTGGCTGAAATTAATTAAAAATAAAAAAGAGGAAAGGGGAAAAGGCAAAAATAATACAGCATATATTTTTTAGGAATTACGTACATTTTATACATGATTTTTAGGTTTTTCAATAAACCTACAGTTGAAGCAAGGGTTATTTTGGTAAAAACTGAGCATATCAGATTTGACTCCTTGTTCTAACAACCAAGAAAATGCTTTCTAGTGTGTACTCTTCTTTCACTGGCTGACAAACCAAAGAAAGCTGAGATCTAGTAAGAGTTTAGCCTAGAGTTAAATACAAATAAAAATACAAATAAAAATAAAACAACATCACATGGAAAGCTAAGAATAGATTTAATAGGTCATATTCACCACTGCACTTGCTGCTATATGGAGTTATTCATGAATAAGAGCACCAAATTTCACTATTGGAAAAAACTTAACAAATTGGAATTTCATGGCCTTCATGTTGACAGCAATTTTTTCCAAGCTTTTAAAATAAATTTAAAACAAGGTAAAACAAAGTGAATTAAGGTGAAATGTCTATTCTGAACAAAACCTTTAATGCCTATAAAATGAAATAAAATTTGGAACTGATCTGACTATAATCTCAGCAAAAGTGGAGAAAAGCATCAAGTATTCTATTATGTGTATTATGTTGGTAAATGGGCTGGAGCAATAGTACAGCAGATAGGGTGTTTGCCTTGCAAGCAGCCAACATGGCCGACCCAAGTTTGATTCCTCTGCCCCTCTAGGAGAGCCCGGCAAGCTACCGAGAGTATCTCACCCGCTCGAGAAAATCAATGAACAACGGGAGGTCAGTGACAGTGATGTTGGTAAATGCAAAAGGGATGTCTAAAGTTCAAGATGATAAACTCCATTCCAATATTTCCTGAGTTGTCTGATCTCAAAAAGCATTTTTAATGCTTTATTCCCATATGGATATAAAATTTAGTTATTTTATTTAAAACTATACTATAGCTTTTTAATGTATATGTTATCTATATACTTACATATAGTTTATCACCAAAGAAAGCAAAAATAAAATTTAAATGCCCCCCTCCCCCAAAAAAGCACTTTTAAGAAGAAAGCATACCTCTGCAAACTGAAACAAGGCTGATGCCTGACACTGTTTTGAAGGAGCATCAGGGTGGGATGTACTTGAAGATATCTGAAAGAAAACAAGAAACTTTTAATGGACAAGGACATTTTCTGATATCAGACTAAGAGATTCTGCCATATATTTCTACTGTAGACACTGATAAAGATTAAAATATGAGTCATCATCCTTAATCCCTTTTTGAACAACAGTATAAATGATAAAGGAAGACAAAAGCCATGTTTCTAAAAACAGATGATTGGAAAGGACAAAAAGCCTGAGTTTGGCTCATTTGTCATATCTCTAGTAAGGATATATCAGGTATGTATCAAATAGCAGTTTGCAGAGACGTGTTTGAAAAACGAATTTCCTTATTAAAATTAAAAAGCCGAATGCTTTTATAAAGCTTATTTTATTTAATAAGTAAAATCAGTCATTCTGCCCCCACACTGTTCTGTTTTGAGGCAGTTGTGTAACCATGCTGGAGAAGCATGTGGATGTGGGTCAAGGTATCTGGGATTGAATCTAAGCTCTGCTGCTCACCAGCTACCTGATATTGGGCACTGAAGCTAATCATTCTGCGAGTTATTTTTCTCAAATGTAAACTGACAATGACGATAATAATCCCCAGAGACTATAAAACCCAGTCCCAGAAGAGAACAGCGCAGAGTCTCCTGACCCCACGTCTGGCTGTCCTCGCCGGGGTCCCTTGGAGGGGAGCGGGTTGAGTTTTCCTCCCCACCCTGACCAGGGCTCCGGCAGGCGAAGACCTCCAGAACCAGCCACCACCATGTTGAGACCACTCTCCACAAGCATGAAGGTACCAGCAGAGGAACAAAGGCATGCGGGTCCCGGGGCTGAGATTTCCAAGCCTGCTTGGATTGGGGCTGAGCATCCTCCACCCAGATCCTCCAAATTCCAGTAGGCAGGGGTCACACCCAACAACTGGCCCCCTGGTGCCGTGTAATCACATCAGTGGCCAAGACCCAGAGACTATAAAACCCAGCTCCCGGAAGCGACATCTTATTATCTCACTCTTACTTTGGACAAACTGGCAGGGTACCAAATGTAACCTGCCCACACGGCAGAGTCTGGCAAACTCCCCGCCCCGTACCCAATATGCCATATACTAGTAACAATGATGGCTCTCATTCTCCTAACCCTGAAAAGCCTTGATTATGGCACTTTTTAAAAAATTCTCTGGGCTAGGATGAATGAGACGTTACTGGGGACTGCTCGAGGCAATCGACGAACAACAGGATGGTCGTGATTGTCGTGATCGTGATAATAATCCCCACTTTACAGGATTATTGTGAAAAGAAAATAAGTCATAGAACATACTCCCTGGTGTGTAAGATGACAATAAACTGTTCACTGACTATGAACAGTATTTCTTCATAATACCATGAGCTTTCCACACTATACACACTTTAGGAATTGGATAGTTGGGAGAGGACCTGGCACACCATCCTTGGTTTAACTAGGTGGTCTTTTGTTTGCAATTGGCAATCACAGTAGCCTTTAAAAGTTTTCTCTGAAGACCACGTGAAATTACCTTATGATGTTTTGAAAGCAAGGACAGCTATTAATTTTGGCTCCCAAGTGAGTGAAACTTTTATCCATTGACACAATAGGATGATATGAGTCATAAGAAGAGAAAGTCTGGGTATTATTGATTTAGCACACTCCCAATCCCATAACTTTTTTCTTTGTTAACTATAAACTCACCAACTCCATCAAGTAGTACTTTCCAAAAAATATATGCACCTTAATCATAATTCTAATCACAGAAATTAGTTTTTACTCATTTTAATTAAATTCAGTCAGTTAGAAAAAAAATGAAGTCAGCTGGTGAGAGAGTATCCAAGTGATGCTTAGGGATGAAAAAGAGAAGGAAGACCGATGGAAGTGACCTTATGCACTGCTTAAACAATATGAAAATTTTAAATTATACAGTATATTTAAAAACAGAATTTGTAGCATTTTTAGAATAAACACTACTAAAAAGAACGTATTTTCTAGATCCAACTTAACAAATTAGATATAAATAAACCACATGGATGAGAAAAATTCATGTGATCTGAAGACATTGAGAATTATGTAAAAGTCTTTTTGATCAAACAACTAAACCTATTCAATAGACCACCATGTGAAAATTGATAGACTATAAACTTTCCTGAACTCCTGGAAATTATAAACTTTGTATGGTCTTATTTCAGATATTGCTTTTCATTCTTACCAATCCTCTATGAAAGTTAGAGAAAACAAGGTTGGCAATATCCATCTGATAAGGGGTCAGTAGTCAAGATATATGAAGAACTGATAGATCTTTACAAGGAAAATACAATCCCATCCAAAAATGGTGAGAAGAAATGAACAGAAACTTTATCAAAGAAGAAATACAAATGGCCAAAAGGTACACAAAAATATTCTACATTATTTTAATAATCTGGGAGACACAAATCAAAACAATAATGAAATATCATCTCATACCACAGAGATTGGCACACATAAAAATAATAAGAAAAAACAATGCTGGCATGGATGCAAGGAGAAAGGGACTCTCTTTCATTGTTGGTGGGAATGCTGTCTGTTCCAGTCTTTTTGGAAAACAATATGACCAGTCCTTAAAAGACTAGAAATTGAGCTTCCATATGACCCAGCAGATGTACTTTTGGGAATATAGCTTGGAGGCCCAGAACCAACAGCAAAAATGACATCTGTACTACTATGTTCATTGCAGCACTCTTCATAATAGCCAGAATCTGGAAACAACCAGGTGTCCAAGAGGAGACAACTGAATAAAGAAACTATGATACATCTACACAATGAAATACTATGTAGCCACCAGAGAAAACATATCATGAACTTTTTTTATAAATGGATGGATACGGAGAGTATCATGCTAAATGAAATGAGTCAAAAGAAGAGAGACAGACATAGAATGATTGCACTCAACTGTGAGAAATGAAAAAGCATAATATGAAACTAACACCTATGGATATTACTGAATAACAAGGGATAGGAGGACTAGTCCACGGATGGAAGCCTGCCACAATGGGGGAGGGAAGGGCAGTTAGGATAGAGAAGGAACAGGTATGACAGTAATAGTTGGAAATAATCGCTCTGGACAAAAACTGAGTGTTGGTAGTAGGTAAAGTGACATACATCATAACTTCTCAGTACCTATATTGCAAACCACAATGCCGAGAGAGAGAGAGAAAGAAAGAGAGAGAGACAGAGAGAGAGAAAGAGAGAGAGGCAGACAGACAGACAGAGACAGAGAGAGAGAACAGAAAAGTGCTTGCCATAGAGGCAGGCTGGGGCGGGGAGGGGAAGCAGGCAGGTGGGGAGGGTGACTGGGGACATGGTGGTGGAAAATGTACACTGGTAAAGAGATTGGTAGTGGAACAATGTATGACTGACACCCAGTCATGAACCTTGTGACCATAAATGTTATGGTGATTAAAAAAAAAGGAAAATGGGGTCAGGAACATAGCTGTAAGTACAGTACATGCCTTACACATGTGAGGGCTTGTGTTTGATTCTTAAGAAAAAAGAAAAACAAGTGTGTGTGTGTGTGTGTGTGTGTGAATACACACAGAGAGTTATAGAAAACAAGATATTGTTGTAAGAAGAAATGTATTTCTTTGAAATTAAGAATTCTTCAAGGATAAAATGAAGTAAAGTGAAGTAAAATAAAATGATGATTTAAGCCATGGAGATTTTTTTGAAAAGTACTCCAAACCCTCTAGACAAAAGGAAGTTTTTATAAATAATATTGGAACAAAGTTGATATTCATCTAGTCACATGAATAAGGAGCTCCTGAATAAATATTAGAGTAAGGATCCATAAGATATAAAAGTCATAGTCTTTAAGTCTTAAATTATTATTATTTTCTAATTTTTTGTATTTGAGTCACACTGGTGGTGGCTTAGTGCTCAGTCCTTTACTCTTGGCTCTGTACTCAGCAATCATTCCTGGAAGTGCTTGGATACCCAAATGGGGTCCTGGGGCTGGAAGTCGCGTTGGTTGGTCTTGTGCAAGGCAAGCACCTTACTTATTAGACTATTAGAATTTTACTTTTGTTATAGAATTTCATGTAACATTTATAGATTTCTTTGAAACTTTGTAGGTTTATGGAATAGGTTGAGCATCTTCGCTTTCAATGTCAAAACCAACATAATTTCATATGTCTGTAAGCACTGCTAAATGAAATACAGAGTGAATCCTCAATACAGTTAATTCCTGATGACATAATAAAGCAAAGGGAATTTATGATACATTTTACAAACAGCAAAGAAAACAGTAAGTATTGTGTTAAAATATCTATTAATATAGTAAAGATTTCAGGTATATTTTAAGCAATGTTTTAAAAAGGAAAGGTCTAGTGAGTCAGAAATGATACAGTGGGTATTTGCCTTCCATGCAGTCAGTCCCAGTTTGATACCTGTCACCTTGTATGGCGCCTGAGCCCTGCCAGAAATAAGCCCTAAGCACAGAGCCAAGAGTAAACCTTGAGCACAGCGGAATGTGGCCCAACTGCCCATCTAAGTCCTGTTCCCCCCAAAAGGGGAACATGGTTTAACATGACAGTGTGAAAAATAAGCTTGCTAATGAAATGTTGAGAGCCATTATGAAAGGATACTTGAGGAGGGGAAAAATATCAAACTGAAAATATGTTCTTGTACAAAAGTATGACACAATGAGCAAAAGTGAGGAAGGACCATGCAAGAGAAGGTCTAGAGAAAGCCAATTCAAGTAATCATTGAAAAACCCTAGTTTGTTTTCATTTATTAACAGCCAGAAGCTCAATTCTCTATATTTATAGATCATGGTATTTTAGTAAAATTTTTGTTAATTTAGTAGTACAAGTTGCTGTACAAAATTGCTAAGAAATGCCGGTTTAAAATTTAGGAAAAAGTCAATCAGTAGTGACTCTGTATGTAGAATTTTAGGGTAAAATGAGATTTTGGAGAATCAGTATTAACCTTTAGATTTGATATCAAGGATGAGACACTTTTCTGAACCAAGATTTTGAACCTAGCTTATCTGAATTAAGCTGAACGTGTCTGACACAAAACAATATTTTTTTCGTGTCAAAACAAAGAAAGCATGTGAGAATTTTGACTAAGAAAAGGGGACAATAAAATATGAAATACACAGCCAATAACCATAGTTGATTCTACACCTTTAGATTTAACACTGGATAAATTAGCACCTGATAAATGACTAACAAAATAATTTGCTTTCTCTTCTTAAGCATATTATTTGTAAATAAAAATTAGTGATGAAGTTTAACTATAATAATATTTACTAGCTATTACTAACAGTCTTCTATAAACATAAATTTAGTTACTTTTTAATTGAGACTCCAAGCTCTAAAATACATTTCATTTTCCCACTTATGATTACTTTAGCTAAGCAGACTCCTTCATGACACTAAGATACTCATCTCCAAACACAAGCTTTCTTCACAATTTCCTCATCAAATACAAAGGATATTACCTCGGCAAACTGAAATAATGGTGACTTCTGACGCATTTCAGGTGATTCTGAAATATCAGGCCTACAAGTGCCAGAGGGTATCTGAAACAAAAAAGATGGTACAGAGATCAGGAAAGTAGTTTCTGGTATTTCACGGAAATACAACCTAATGAGTTCCTATTTGTAGAAACAAAAATTTTGATTTACCTAATGTGAGACAATATTGTGATAAAAGAATAGTTACTATTCTGCAAAGTTTTATGTAAAAGGCTATTCGGTTTCTAAATAATGCCATAAATATCAGTGGACAGGCATAGCACTTTACAAAAGTTAACATTCACCTAAGAGAAATTTTCATAAAGAGGCCCTTTTTTGATCTCTTGCTTTTTGACACAAAAGTCAGAGAACATTAACATCTTCAATGCTGTTTCCCCAAGATTTCATATCACCTGTCTACATGAAAACACAAACGAAAATTGACAATATGTATCTTTGTGGCAAACCCAAACTCATGTCAAATTTTTATTTTAGGTTTTCAAGTGTTTATACAGAAGCCTCCAAATTTTAAAATGTAAAAATTTCCAGAAGAAATTTTATTTATTTGTTTTTTTTTTTGGCTTGGAGCCACTCTGGCAGTACTCAGGAATCACTCCTGGTAAGACTCAAATGGCCATGTGGGTGACAGATAACTGACCCTGGGTCAGTTTCATGCAAGTCAAACGCTCGGTCCACTGTACTATCTCTCCAGCTTCTTGAATAAATTATTTTCTAATTATTATGGACTATTGCCAGACACAGTAACAACAAAGTCTCCAATGGAGACATTACTGGGCCCGCTCGAGCAAATCGATGATCAACGGGAGGGCCTTTACTTTACTTTACTATTATGCACTATATATTCTGAATTATACACATTACTATATATAACACAGGCTACTCTACAACATGTATTATAACTTACTTCTTTTACCCTGCTATCTTTATTATTAATAGCAAAAAAAATAGCACTGCTGAATTAAAAGAAAATCAGATTTCTGTTCTCAGGGTTCAGAGTTCCTCTTCTACCTCAATGATAACATTGACTCATCTTTGTATTTGGGTGACACAATCACTTAGTCAACTGTAGTACTTAAAAAGTCTTAGATGCCACAAAATGTTAAATCAGGAAAAGATTTCATTATTCCTTGATCAACCCTTTTGAAAGAATGATTAACTTAGGAACTGAGAAGTAAATGATACCACCTCCTATTGCTCCAAGCCCTCCTGTGACACCCCCCGCCCCCAACACACACATTAAATAATCTCATTCTCTACCACAGGTGACATCTACCATTTATCAACACATGATCTAATGACTTATTCTATCTCCCACCTTCTCCCAAAGGCTCTGTTTAATAGTTCTCAATAATGCGTGGCAAAATACAAATACTTAACAAATTATTTATTTTGAGTCAAACTAAAAGAAAATTGTCTAGTTTTTTAAAGCCCAAATTAATATGTCCCAAACTTTTCTGAATGCCACGATTCCAACTGTCTTTCCCTTTAAAGGAAACGCAATAAAATACTTTTTGGATTTTAATTCTAATCCATGTTTACTACTGAAAAACTGAAAATGTCTAAGAAAATTTATCGAAAATATATTTTTGGGGTGATGGAGAGATAGCACAGCAGGTAAGGTGCTTGTCTTGCACGCAGCTAACTAGGGATTTATTCCTGGCACCAATTGTGGTCCCACAAATACTCCTGAGGTAATCCCTGAGCACAGAGGCCAGAGTAAGTCCTGAGGTGATACCTGAGCACACTGGCAGGAGTAAGCCCTAAGCTCTGCTGGGTAGGTATATCCTCCTACCCCAAATAAATCTCTTAAGAATAAACACTGTCAATATTCTATGCATACTCCTTTGGTTATAGAATTTTTTCAACGAAGAAATGAATACTGTACTAGAGAATATTCTCTTTAACAATACATTAATGTTTCTGTATTATAAAATCTTTCTGGTATAATTTTAATAGCTGCTTATTATATTAGATGGTAAAATCCTATAGAAATTGCTGAATTATGCAGACTGTGCTCCTGAAAACAGTTTCTCACTGAACTGCATTACTAGATAGTAAAGATGTTTCCCTAACAGTGTCATAAGTCATTGGACAGAAACAACATTTGAAATTTTAATTGTCACATTTGAATTTGAAAGTGTAATGGCTACAGTCTTCAAGTAACATGCTCCATAGAGGTGGTGCTGAGTCTTTAATTAATTTGGTTTGACGGCCAAAGTCTGACTCCTTTATTGTCACTTGAATGTTTGATATGTTATGTGCCAAATGGCCCATGTTCTTATTTGCTTCCCAAGAACCAGAGCCAAGGAGACACACATTGCACCTCTCTCCCCAACTCTCACCTCCAAAACCCAACAAATTCTGAAATTATAAGGCCAAAAAAATTCCTACTTGGAAGGACCATTTGAAAAAGAATTCTCTTTAAATTTTATTTAGGAATAGTGAAAAGAAAAATTAATACTGTCTTGCCTTAAAGTCTGGCTGAGCTTTAGTCAGATTTTGGTAAATAATCCAAGTTTCCTTTAAAATCAAGTTTAAAACTAAATGAAAAATATAAAAGTTTAATAAGTTGTACTCATGGCAGACATCCATAAAAGATTTTACAATTTGATATGTTAAAAACACAGAGTAACAACAGTACTTAAAGTCCACATATATATTCTCCTGATCCCCAGAAGAGAAATATGGGAAAGTTAACAAACATGAGTAACTGTGGATATTAGCCATCCTCTTAGACAAAGACGAAAAGTCAGTTTTTTAAAATAGTCATTTATACACCATCTGGCCATACTCACACCAATTCATAAAGTATTGTTACTGTTTTTGGCCCCCTAGCGGAATTGGGGGCCACTAGCAGCACAGTGCTAGGTGAGCAGAGCAGAGCCAGGGAGAGTCAAGCCTGGGACTCCAGTCATTTTGAGCTATCTCCATGGCCAAGTCATTAAGTTTTAAAGTTAAATTGAACGAAAAATTATGATTCTGGGGGTGGGTGGTCCAAACCTGCTGCTTCTTAGTGCTTACTTCTGGCTTTCCTGGCGAGATTGGGGACCGGATCTAACCTGAGCTGGCTGTGGCAAGGCAAAAGCCCTACTTGTTGTATTATAGCTCTGCCATATTTTGTTTAAATAAAAATTTCTATTTAAATGGAAATTCAAATGCAAATAATCCTGCCTATGATAATAAAGGGCTGAAGCACAGTGGGTAGGGCATTTGCCTTGCACGCAGTGACCTGGGTTTGATTCCTTCGTTTCTCTGGGAGAGCCCGGAAAGCTACCGAGAGTATCCCGCCAGCACAGCAGAGCCTAGCAAGCTCCCTGTGGTGTATTCGATATTCAAAAACCAGTAACAACAAGTCTCACAATGGAGACGTTACTGCTGCCCACTCGAGCAAATTGATGAACAATGCAGGATAATGCTACAATGCTATGATAATAAAATTTTAATTAAAATGTAATTAAAAAAACAAAAATAAAAACAGCAACAAAAAGCCACAACCTGTGTGTTTGTGCTCAATATCAAAGACTTGATTCTTTGCATGCGATTATAAAGAATCTCAATGACCAGGAACATTATAAAGGATGTTTACTGGTTGAAACAGAAGTAACATAATCACTAACCCTATGCATTTTATTTTAGTAGACAATATTCTCTCTCAAACTCTAGTTATTTTCACCTTAAAGCACTGTGGATTTGGCATACATCCTCAGTATAGTCCAATAGAGGAATACAGAATTAGCAGTCTAGAGAATTGGTAGACTACTAAACTAGTGGGGACCTGACTTTCTATAGCAAAACAGAAGCAGCAAATCAGAATGGGCCAAGAGTAAGGATAAGGAAAAGAGAGGATTGTAGAAGAAACAATACCAGAACAAGAAGAGACAAAGACTGAAACACTGCAGAACGATCAGATGCAAATTACTATAGTTTAAAGCAAATTAAAGTAGAACAAATAGCCTCTGTTTCTCCTGAAGACGTTAGTTCAATGCAGTAATTAATATTTATAACTACAATCCTAAGTTGTCACGATATGAATAATTATAAAATATATTCTCTTCATTAAATGGCAGAAATAAACTTGACAGACGTTAGACTTCTTTCCAACTACAACCTTAAAATGAAAAATGGCTCAATGATATGAAGAATGTACATATGTAGAATTCATTCCTGAGTGTTTTATAAATAAAGCACCTAATACAAAGTATGCATATTAGTACAAACTCAGATTTATTTGTATATCCCTCACATATGTTTGGTAAATAAATATTAGGTTTATGTTTACATGAAAGCATCCAGTAATGAGCTTCTATTAAGGGGACTCAGACCTTGTTGCTTTGATGGTGCCCTGATGTTTGCATTTACTGTACTCAAAATTACTTATTAGGAAACATGTTTTTCATATAAAACATAAACTCCTCTACATCCTTTTCTATGCTAGAGTCAGTTCTTTTTATAAATAGAATACAGAAGCCAAACAATTGCTCATTATTTTAGGGGGGAAAGGGGAAGATACCAAATAAGCGAGGCTAAGTAAAGAAAAAGAGAACTCAGGAAGTTGTTTCTAGAAATAATTCATAAAGCCACTAGGTGTTGCTATATACCCAAGAAAGAAAATAGCTCAAGGTCTGTTCAATCACATAATCAACTTCCTTTAGAATTCAATCCTTCCTTTGGGTTAGCTATAATTCCTAGTTAAGTAAGGGGGGAGAAATATTAGTATAATTAAAAACTACAACTAAGTGCTATTTTGACCATAATCACAATTCACAATGTGAAAACTAGACAAGAAGTTGTGATTCAGCTTCCAGATATAAAGCAAGCTCAAACCAGTTAGATGTAATGTGAGTGATTTGGATAACTTTATAAAAAGGCTTTATCAAAAGCCTATTCCTACATCATAAAGCAAAAGTCAACAGTCACAGAGCTTAGTCATAGTAAACATATATTCAACAAAAGAAGGTAAGTAAACTAGTTCTATCTGAACTATACAATTTTTCACTTTTAATTCAAACACTGTTTTTATTTATTCTACAAGCATCCAAATAAGC